CACATTGCTTTCTGAGGTGCCATTACCTAGGCTCTGCCGACAGAGCTACTCTGAAGTGCCAGGCCTGAGTGCCAGGGCAGCCTGGAGAGGCTTTCAGCTGGTGCTGCCGGTTCCAGGAGATCCCAAACAGCCTTTAATAGCAGCTGGCCCGACAGCTCACTGCCTTGTCATTTCTGCCAGATGGACGTGGCCATCAGAGTCATCTTCCAGGCCATGAAGAGGTGACTGGCCCGGTGGGGGTAGACCCAGTCTGGGGCCCTGGAGCGGGCCTCTGGCAATGGTTTGGGGCTATACCGAATGTCTCCCCTTGTCACATGTAGGGATGTCTGTAGCCACTTAAAAACCTCACCTCCATCAGTTTCTCTGGCAACCAGGAGCCACGGTAGACCATCTGTTGGCAGCTGAATCAGTTCTTAGCTCTCTTTCTCTTCCTCTTCCTCTCCCCCCCCCCCACCTTCAAGCTTTAAAGAACAGGGCTTCTCACCTTCTTTAAGACCACCTGTGCCCACAGCCATCGATCTCATTTGCCTTGGCGATGTGAAGCAGCCTCGAAGGCAACAGTAACCCCTTCCAGAAGACCACATGTATTTTGGAGGAAGCTTGGGGAGCAGAATAAATATTTTAACAATAAATATAACGGGTCCCTAGAGACTCCCACTGCATCGGGATAGCACACACCTCCGTGGGCCCCTTAGTTGGAACTAGAGGTATTTCACCATTTTCCAGGTCTGGGATGTAATATATTTTATGCATTTCATCTCAGTGAGCATTTTTTGAAGGCAACCTTAGATGTTCTCCCTCAAACCAGGTAGGTATCCTCAAAGATCTGAATTCATGAAGTGGAGTTAATGTGTGCCAGGTAATAATGGTCAAACCCTGCAGGATGGTGGCTGTCTATGGACATGCTCCCCGTTAATCATCTGCATATCTCAGATGGGGAGAGGGGCAGGTACCCTCGGAGGCCAGTTCCAGTTCCGGGTGTTGTCTCATGAGCACTCGACAACCACAATCCCACCTTTGTCAGTGAACATAGAGCTGAGAATTTGGTGTTTCTGGGTGTTTTAGGGTCTGGAGATCAACACTGAGCATGGCTGTGTTCCTCTGCCACTTCCTCGGGTTGCGTTCCAGATCAGTGGGCTGTGTGGCAATCTACCAGGCCTTTAACCTGAGTCCTGATTTATGTCTAGGCCAAGCTTCAAGGAAGAGGAAGCAGTTCAGGCTAGCTGCCAGATCGACTATACTAAATTCTATCTAGACAGATGTGCTAACATCTGCCTGACGATGAGTCAGAGCTCCCCTTACCATCAGGCTGAGGGCGAGAGGCATCCATGGACAGTAGATAGAACTTACCATCAGGCTGAGGGCGAGAGGCAGCCGTGGACAGTAGATAGAACTTACCATCAGGCTGAGGGCGAGAGGCAGCCGTGGACAGTAGATAGAACTGCTCAGGGCTGCTGGCCATCTGGGGCTCACGCAGGGCTGGAGCCTTTCAGCCCTTTCTGTCTGGTCTCGAATGGCGTTTCCTGTGCCAGTGGAGGCTTTCTTTACAGAACAAAACCCACTTCCATCTATTTGAATGAAAATCCAGTAATTCCAAGCTTTGAACATGCAACAGTGGTAATGTGTTTCTGCGTAACAGAATGAGATAGCAGATGAGAATGGGTAACCAGATGAGATGGCTAGACTCCTCAGATGTCTAATTGATGGAGGAAGGTCATTGGCTAATAAAGGAACTGCCCTGGCCCATTTTATTGGTTGAAAGATAGGTGGGAGGAGTAGGCAGAACAGGACGCTGGGAGGAAGAGGAAGTGAGCTCAGAGACTCCACAGCTCTCCTCTCGGGGGCAGATGCCTCAGAGAGAGACGCCATGCCCCACTCCCGGGATGAAGGTCTGACCCAGGATGGACATAGGCTAGAATCTTCCTGGTAAGCGCACCTTGGGGTGCCATACACAGATGATTAGAAATGGGCTAAATTAATATGTGAGAATTAGCCTAGAAGAGAATGGGCCAAGCAGTGATTAAAAGAATACAGTGTCTGTGTAATTATTTCCGGGCATAAGCTAGCCATGTGGGCGGCCCGGGGTGCCGGGGAGGCAGCCCCGCTGCCCCATATTACTACATCTAATAACTTATTCAAGATCCTAATGATGGTACATGACAAAGCAGATGCTAGCGGAGATCTGTCTACATCTGCCCGCCATGCCCCATTGCAGGAGGACGTGGAAATGGCTGTCCTACCAAGATTGGATGGATGTCTAGGGTAAAGGAGCAATGTGATTATTTTAAGGAGTCAAGAATGTCACTTCTCTTTCTTGAAATGACCATTTCCAATGGAACTTATGGAGAGAGAAATTGATAACTCAAGTGGTCCAAAGACTCTGCTGGACTCAGGTTTAATCATCAAGGTAGAGTCATGGAGAGGGTAAGGCCAGTTGGGGCCCCTTCCACTGCCAGCTGGGTGCTTCGTAGACCTTCACAGAGATGCCTGGACTTAGGATTTGGGATCTTATTTACTTGGGCTTTATTTTGTAAAAGCTCCACCTCAAAGTCCAGCCTCTGCACTGTGCCCAGAGCCTGGCTCCACTGGCGATTTCCTTTTCGGTAGGGGAGGACTGAACGCGGAACCACGTGACAAGCGGCGAGGCAGGCTGCCTCCGCTCTTAGAGCTCCTATTCAAACTCACGCCGCCCTGCCCCCTCCAAACAGGGTCTTTGCAGCCCAGGGCCACCTTGAACAGGCCAGGTGTATGGGCGTGTGCCACCATGCCAAGCAAACATGAGTGGCGTGGAAATATCTGTCAGTTTCTCCTGAGCTCAGGCCTTCCTGCCAGACTCATTTTTACGGGACAAATCCCATTCAGGTGCTGGAGAGAGGAAATGTTTTAACACTGGGAGTCAACTTGAGATCCAGAACTCCTGAACGAAACCAAATGTTTCAGATGACAGTTTTGGTTTGGCTTTTTCTTAAAACTTGCTCTCCTGGGGGCTGTAGACACCACAGACCAAACCTTCTCTGCTGCGTTGAGCTGCTTGCTGTTAGTCAAAGTACTGAGTACCTTTAATGCCTTCAGGGTTTCCTGAGTGGCCTAGAAACAAAGATAATGAAAGACGGCAATATATTTTTTCTCAATTAACTTAACAGCATCTCCAAAAATATTTCTTTTCAAATAGTTCACGAAAGAACTTGGCCAGGATTTTCATGGCAATAGAGAGTCTTGAACACGAATCCGTCAGCTGCTTTGTAAGGGTCTACCGATGCTGTCACCTTAACAAGTCTGTATTTCTCCTGGACAAAAAAAAGGAACGAAGTCACCACTCCCCTCCGACACATGAAGGAAAGCTCAGCAGAAAGTCAGGCTCTGGCAGTGAGGAATGCCCGATGTCACAGATTTTCTTTAATAAAGACTAAGCTGGCCGTCCACTAAGCCAGTTTCGGAGTGTGACCTGTAACTCCCAGCCGTATTTACACGGAGGAAGCGTGAATAGGTTCACTAATGCGGTGAAAGGGCACCGTGACCCTACCTGCCAAGTGGCAAGGTGGGGATAATTAATCTGGTCAATTAAAAAAGAAAGAGATAATTTAAAATGCAAAGGCGTCCATGTGGCGCATTGCATTCTGCTCTCTGGACGTCCAGGTTCTTGCCGTCAGTTCGCCTCTCTTCCCTGCCTTTTCTTCATCTTTTCTCTTTTGAAAACTTGATGGGCCACACTTGACTCAAACGGAGAACTTCTGTGTTTTATATCACGACCTGCTTCTGTCTTGCATTCTAGAATGTTTCTTCATTCTAATGTGTCTTCTAGAAACGCCCCCTCCCCAGGCGACTGAGTCCCCATGACCACCTTAGCAGTACTTACTCTTGTCTCTGTGGGGTTGCTAGCGCTTACTCTCCCTTCAAGACTCTTGGTCCGTTTCCCAGTGGAATTTTCATACTTTGAGAGCGCTAGGGCCCGAGCCACACTGTCTGGCTTATCTAATCCCATTTATGATCCTATAACCTTGAAGCTTGCCACAACCTGGCTGTCAGCACCAGATCCTGAATACTCGGGGTGGTGTGTTTGCTTTGTCGAACAGGAAATTAGTCAAACAGTTTTTTCCCCACAAATGTTCATAATTCCTCTTGACATTTACAAGCCAGGAGTAGCGCTTGGGCACAAAATGATCTCAGGGAGCCGTGAGAGGTAGTGGACAGCGAGGCCGCTGCGCTTTGGTGTTTGCGAGCATCCGTCGCGGGCCTGACCGCAGCACCAAGGAGAGTCCACAGGGGCCCACTCTGTTGCCAGTGTGGGTTGGTGTCGCCTCGTTGCCTGCAGCCCACAGTGTCTTTGCAGCTGGTGCAAGCCCGGGCCCTGGGCAGACATTTCTGTCATTGCCGTTACAATCCCAGCAAAGCGCTAAGAGAGCGACATCCGGGGTTTTCAGGCCGCTCACAGGCAGGCTTTTTATAGTGAGAATCTGAATAGTTCTGGTTGCCAAGGAGGGGAAATTCTCATCTACAAAACCAACAGAAAACCAGCTCAAACGCTTCGGCGGGGAAGTGCAAGGCATTAAGGTCTCTGTTCCCTAGGTGTTAGATTTGGCGAGCCAGACACCACCAGGGCGGAGTCAAGACTCCGTGCTGGCTGAGCTCAGACTCAGTGGTGCCCGTTGTCAGCTCTGCAGGAGGCCCGCTGCGGCCATCTGTGCGGTGCTGAGTGAGATGGGATAAACAGCTGGTGCCAGGACCTGGCAAGCAGGCTGGCCCAAGCCCTCCTGTTTCCAAAGCCCAAATCACCGGAGGGATTCCCCTTCCTGCAGCTCCGGCCAGCAGCTCTATAAAAGCATAAAGCATCGCTGTATTGCGGTTTATAGGAATCCCTTACATTTGTAAGGCGTTTTACAGTTTACTAAGCGCTTATACAGACGTTATTTCATTTGAGCTTTCTAACAGCCCTGGGGGGCTGCAAGGCGCAGATACAGGGTTGGCTTTCCAAAGATGGGGAAAGGGAGTCCCAGAGAATGATGCTGCCCACTGGGAGTGCCCGTCTGGCTTTGGCTTCGGCTCCTTACGCCTTCCTTGCGCCTGGACTGAAGCTGTCCATGTACAACACCTCTGTAACTCTTCTGGAAACTTGGAGATCCCAGGGAAGTAGCCATGGCTGATGTTCATGTGCAGTTCCACTTGGCTTTCTTTCTTTTGTTGTGCAAGCAGTGGTGGCTCGGTCGTGGGTCTTGTCTGCCTTCTTTCCTTCCTTCCTTCCTTCCTTCCTTCCTTCCTTCCTTTCTCCCCTTCCCCTTCCTCCTCTTCCTCTTCCTCTCCTTTTCCTTCTCCTTCCCCTTCCTCCTCTTCCTCTTCCTCTCCTTTTCCTTCTCCTTCTCCTTCTTCTTCTTCTCTTTGGTTTTTCGAGACAGGGTTTTTTCTATGTATCCTTGGCTGTCCTGGAACTCACTCTGTAGACAGGCCGGCCTCAAACTCACAGAGATCCACCTGCCTCTGCCTCCTAAGTGCTGGGATTAAAGGCATGCACCACCACCACCTGGCTGGGTCTTTTCCTTTTAAAACAGCAGGGGAGTGAAGAAAGTTGGAAAGAGTGGAAGGAGCAATCAGGGAGCTGAACAGGTTCTGGGCCTGTTGGGATCCACTGTGCAAGGGCCGTCACAACTGCCAGTTCACCCAAGGTCACCTTGCACAGAGAAAATGACCCACTGTTTGTTCTCAGAGACTGTCACCGTGGCACACTGCAGAGAAACAGGTTCTTCTCTGGGAGCCTCTGGGCTTGGGCTCACAGTCAGAAGACTTACAGGAAAGCTCTGTCGTGGCTTTGTATGGAAATCTCCTCTGACCTGGGGAGCCAGTGGGAGAGGAACCAAATGCACCTGTCCAAGTCTGTGAGATGGAAGACTGCATGGTGATGCTGCAGATGCTGTGGGCTCTTAGCTCTGAAAAAAAAAAAAAAAATCCCTCCCTGGTAGAGACTTTAGACCCGGATACCTGAGCAGATCTGCTGGGGCCTGTCTCGACGCCTTGGTGTTCTGTTGTGGGATACTTGTACACTTTGTGAAGGAGTGTTGCTGAGTGGTGTAATGAAAGGCTGAATGGCCAATAGGGAGGCAGGAGAGATAGGGATGAGAGGAATCCGGGTTGTGTGAGAGATGCCAACGAGATACCGAGGGAGCTGGACAAACAGAATAAAAGGAGAAAAGCCACGAGGTAAAACATAGATGAATGTAAACGGGTTAATTTAAGTTAGAAGAGCTCAGTTAAGGCTGAGTTTTCATAATTAATAAGTCTCTGTGCTGTTATTTGGAAGCTGACTGGATGGAGAAAGACTCGCTCCAGTATTCTTCTGTTCTTATGGTGAAATCTAGTAGTATGATTGGACACCAGAATCAAACGCCAGCATCCTGTGGTCCACAGTTGTGTGAGCTTGAGCAAGTCAAGTTAAGCTGTCCATGGTGGAAGAGGTGTGCCTTGCCTGAAAACACTGGGCTATTAATAAAACAAAACAAAACCGACGCGGTCCTTGTTGTGGAGGTTCCTCATTCCAGTGCTCCGTTGTCGCCACGGTGAAGCTGAGTAAAGAAGCTAAACAGAGGCTGCAGCAGCTCTTCAAGGGCGACTTCATTCCTCTCGTGATTTACCTGGCATTTACGAGGGGTGCAGATCCTGGAATGCCTGAACCATCAGTTTTAAGCCTACTTTGGGGATAAAGGCCTGTTTGGTCATCTGGATTTGGAAGCAATCCAACATGGAAGGTGTGTACTCTGGCTGGATGAGAAAGACATTGTTTCAGCGCATCTGTGGCAGAGTGGAGCCTGTACTGACTCACGATAGACTGTCAAAATAAATATTTTAACGATGTTAAAAAAAAAAAAGCCAGGCGATGGTGGCACATGCCTTTAATTCCAGCACTCGGGAGGCAGAGGCAGGCGGATCTCTGTGAGTTCGAGACCAGCCTGGTCTACAAGAGCTAGTTCCAGGACAGGCTCCAAAGCCACAGAGAAACCCTGTCTCGAAAAAACAAAACAAAACAAACAAAAAAAAAAAAACCAAAAAAAAAAAAAACCACCCAAAATAACAACAACACTAAAGCTGTTCCAAAGAGTTGTTTTAGTTCATTGAGATCATATTAGTAAAATGCCTCAGACAGTGCCCGACGTGAGCTGAGCGAAGGACTCTATCAGGTTTTGGAGGAGGAAACTCAGTAAACCCGCAGAGGGCAGCTCCAGCTACCCGCTTCCTTTTCCCCACTGTCGACCTGAACTCAGATGTGCCTTCCCCAAACCCAGGAAGATGCACACAACACATGCACATTGCCTAATGTGATTTAGTCATGATCTCATAGAACAGGGATTGTGGGAATGCAACGCGTCTGGGCAGCGGTGTATTTACGGTATTGATGCCAGCACAAGACTGGCACCAGGCAAAGTTAAGCAGGCATAAAAAGGCTGCTGCAGTTGGTGAGGGAGGCCAGCACTTGGTCTGAATTCAGCTCTGTTGAAACAGGGCAGAGGATTCTTAAACAGTGGGGTAAGAGGGAGATGGAGCCATCTGCTTGAAGTGACTTCTGCCACCTTCTCGTGTCTTCTCAACAGATGGTAGTTTTACAGTTTGGATGCCAGTGGAGTCGGGCTCCCATCATCCCACAGGATAGGGTACGCGGCTCACACGTGAGAGGGATGGTTTCTTCTTTGAAGATTGTGTTCCAAGCCATGGCCCCTATGTCCTTGGGAAGACATTTTTGGGTTATAAAATAGACAAGAGACTTTATAATTGATTTACATATTGTTTTGGGTGTGTCCTGTATCTCCTCCAGGTGAGTGCAAACATGATACACCTTCCCTTCTTGGGCTGTGCCGGCCTTCCCGTCCAATGACCACAGTGATTGTCAGCAATGATGAAGTATGGGTTGCTCTTGGGAAGTCTTTCCCCAGTTCACAAGGAACCTTTCCCTTTCCCCCCTTTTTACTTCTGTCCCTCCTCCCCTCCTTGAAGCCATCAGTCCTGACTTCGTGTAGGGACCATGTTTGGTTCTTGTCTGCTCTGTCTTAGGAGATAACTTTGGGAGAGGAAGGTTGCTGGACTACTAAGGACTACTGCTTATCCCTTAAGGGTCATTGTGCCCTTGCTCTTGTGTGAGGGCATGTGTTGGCAAGGTTGCCCACTCTTGCTGTGGTCCATGGGCTTGGGGCTGTAGAAATGACTCATTATGTAGTTAAATTGTATTTTATCCTTTCAAAGTGACCCCTTTCAGGACCTGGGTAGATGACAGCTCAGTGGGCGCTAAAGCATTTGCTGTGCAAACCTGAAGACCTGAGTTTGTACCTCAGGACCCGCATAAAGCTGGGTGCCATAGTACACATGTGTGTCAAGTCAGCACCTCTGTGGGGAGATGGGAAACAGGCAGGAGCATGTCCAGCCAGCTAGCCTGGCATATGCATGCATGAACAACAAGAGACACTCTGTCTCAAAACAGGAAGGAGGCAAGACCGACACCCGAGGTTGTCCTCTGACCTCAACGTAAGTAGTGTGGCACACATTCTCTCTCTCTCTCTCTCTCTCTCTCTCTCTCTCTCTCTCTCTCTTTCTCTCTCTCCCTCAACGTTAGTGTGGCACACGTTCTCTCTCTCTCTCTCTCTCTCTCTCTTCTCCCACCTGCCATCCTCTGCCCCCTCTCTCACACAGTGGCCTTTGGCATCTACAGCAGATCCTGATTCATGAAATATCAAGTATGAAGGGTCCAGAGAAATTTGTACAAAATGAAGTAAAAACACTAGAGATCACTTTGGCCACCCATGTAAGGCTTACGAGGCACACGTATACTCAAGAGCATAAGATTAAGCTAATCTTTGTTTAACGCAATCTTTTCATGTTAATCCTAAAATTAGTAATTCTTAGAATGCCCATAGTAGAAAGCACCTACAACTCTAGATTTTAGGGAAAAGACAATAGACATGCTGGGGTTTGTGTGTGTGTGTGTGTGTGTGTGTGTGTGTGTGTGTGTGTAAGGCACAGACACCAACCTGCATTTTAAAAGAGGCCCAACCTGCAAGAAAGACATACAGTCTTCAGTATGGGCCACAGGGGAAGACCCTCAGCTCAGTCGGCCTTAGCCAGGCATGCTGAAAGGACCCACCATGGGCCACCAGGCTCCGCGGAAAGGCACACAGACTTACAGAAATGGCTAGTTGCATAATGGTCGGAACCCCACACGTTTGTTTATATAGGGTATAAAGGCGTGGTCGCTTGTTCCTAGTTATTAGGGATTTAACAACAGTGCTAGGAGTGGATTAAACCAAACGTGCACAACCGTGTGTTACTTTACTAGCCCCACAGCCACATGTTCCCAGAACCTCCTAATAGAGCTCACTCAATAGTGCAGGTGCGTCTGTGTTAATTCCATGTAGCAGTGAAGGAAAGTCCATTGGCCCCATCACAGAACAAGCGTGTGGACAGAAGATTTGAGCAGGTGGTCCTTGCTAGAATAGTCTGAGCGAGGGGTGTCTACACGCTCTTTATTTCCTTCCCTTCAAACGGGTCATTTCCTTGGAGGACAGTCCTGCCCTTGTCTGCGCCTGCCCTGGAAACAGGTGACCTGGTGCAGAGGTTTCTCCCACGTTCAGTTTCTTTCCCATCCTACCTTCTTCCAAACACAGAGCTTTGTAATTGATTTAAAAAAAAAATTGGCAAGTTCGTGGGCTTTTATTAGACATTGTAATTCCAAACCGTGATTACATGATGTCTGGCTTTCCCTGAGCCCAAATTCAATATCCTGGAACGTGGGGAGCTTTGTTCCTGACTGTAGTGTGCACCTGGGGTGGGGCCCGCGCAGGGATGGTGCCCCATCAACCTCTGAAAATCTCTGGCTGTGGATGCGAGTTTAACTCTGCTTCCTCCTTTTTATCCTCTTGAATTATACCTTTACGAACTCTGGTTTTGTTCATCCGTTTGATTTGAAACAGGGACACACGCCCTATCCACTATGTAGCCCAGCCTGGTTCCAAGTTCTCAGTAATTGTCCTGTCACAGCTTCTGGAGTGCTGGGATTACTGGCATGAACTACGCTGCCTGTTTACAAGTTTTTCTTTTTATGTTTACTTTTTTACACTATTTGTTATTTTTACTTTGGACAGATAGAGAGAGAGAGAGAGAGAGAGAGAGAGAGAGAGTGAGAGAGAGAGAGAGAAAGCACAAGGTAAGTGGGAATATGAAGGACAACTTTTGGAAATCAGTTCTCCCCTTCTCCCTTGGCTTTTAGGTGTTGCATTTGGTCTTTAGGTATGCACGGAAGCCCTTCATTTGCTGTGCCATCTTGCCAAGGTGCATGATGTAATCAGCTCCCTCAAGCTCCTGCTGCGAAGGGGGTGGGTCTCAGCTGTGATAAACTGTGTGTAGCCTCCAACTGAGTCAAAAAAAAAAAAAAGCTCTTAAATAAAGGAAGGAAGGAAGGAAGGAAGGAAGGAAGGAAGGGAAAGAAAAGGCAAATCCCTCAAGTGTTCCCACTTCCATGCAGGTTCTTGCTCCCCTGGACTGTCTTTCTGATGGCTGTGTTTGTGACGGACACATGGTGATGATGGATACACATCTTTGTTATGGTGCTGCTGAATTGTGATCCATGCTGCACTCATAAACGCGAACCACACTTCTCCATGTAAAGAGGATGAAGGAATTAAAGCAACAGGCCTGAGAACTGACTGCAAGGAGTCCCTTGTCCACTTGCGACAAGCTCCACAAGCTAGACAGCACTCGGTCACCTTTTGCTGTGTCTTTGTTCATGGGGAAAGGGACGCTGGAAGATGATCTACCCAATGTCATCCAGCTCCCAGGGCACATTAACTAGGCTGTCAATGGCATTCCCACACAGACCGCACAGTCTTGTCCCCACATCAGTAACCTTCTGTGGGGCAGATTTTTCAGAGTTTACTGCTCCTTTGTGGGAAGTGAGAGCTGGAACCCACGCTCTTTAAGGCCAAGCTTCCCAACCCTAAACGCACAGGATGCACACAGTGGGTGCCAACCCGGTCAGCCCACAGCTGCGCAGAGCTTTAAAAAAGTGTCTCCATCATCGGGCATTCCCTGTTTTCTCGAGATGTGTACTGTGGTCAGCCAGATCCTCCTGAAAGCTGATCCCTGAGCTGTGACTACCATGCCCTTGCCAGACTGATGCCAAAGCTTGCAGGTTCATTTTAAAGTCACTCCGAGAGAGAAGGATGGGGTGTCAAGTCTGTTCCCTGGAGCGGCTATTCAGCCCTTTCTTGTGAGTTTTGAAGCATTGAGGACCCATCTTCTGGTGGAATTTGTAATCCACCAGATAGTCCAATTTGGTGTGTTTGGTGAATAGGGGATGGACACCCCAAAATCAAACCGAACAATAACAACAACAACAAACTGCCCCCATTGGATCATCAAGGACTAGAATTATAAGAAAATGTGAACGGCTCTCTATCTCTCAACTTTGCAGTTCAGGATAGAAGTTTGGAGGTTTCAACCGTTCTCCCATAAATCTAGCAGGGAACACTCAAGCGCATTTTGCCATCGATGGCAAAGTGTGGGCTTTTTTTCCGCAAAGAGAAGGCCTTTACAAATACCCACTAACAGATAAAAATCATGTCTTCATTCAGCAAAGACTGCGGCATCCCACAGATGCTCCCTGGAAATTCTGTGTTCTGGTCACCTAAGCCGTGGTCTTGGCAACCACAGTCACTCAGGAATCTCCAAGGTGCTGTCAAAACCAAGAACACTCTGTTACTATTTATGGATTTTCTCCAATAAAGCCCCATCCTAAGCAACAGAACCACAAAGCTTGACGGAGCATATGTCACATTAAACATGGCATGTCGTATGTTTCTGTATGTGTACATCT